TGAAATAGTATTTATAGTAATTATTTATTTATTTATTTATTTATCTATTTATTTATTATTTAGTATTTTTTATTTATTTATTTATTTTTTATTTATTTATTTATTTATTTAATTACGTTTATATTATTTATTTATTTATTTAGTATATAGTATTTATTTATTTATTTATTATTTATCTATCGAAATACTATACTATACTATAGCTATGAGAAATACTTTTACAACACTACGTAAAGACAATGTGTTTGTGAAATTTCGACTCTTTGGAAACCAGAGATCCTGCAAGATCCAGATTTTGATTCTCTAAGGAGTTGGCCAAGGTTTCAAGCAAAAATAATTGCATGTTTGTCGCCAAACACTCAAAAAGTCATAGCCGATTCGAGCAAATAAATGGAGAGAAATCGAAAACGCAGTAGCAACACGAGCACTTCCGACAAAAGCCAGAGAATTCGCGTTGAAAGCAGCTCCCGGAGCGATAATTATGGTGCATTCACTAGCTATGTGATCACTCGCATTTCAAAGAAACTCTCATTGGAGGTAGGAGTTAGTTTTTACTGATTAAAGCGAAATCATAAGCGAAAAAAAACAGGTGACTGAGCTGGTGGATTTTGTCGCGGAAAAAGGGCGGAAAAAGACTAAGGGGAGTGCTTTTTGGCAAGTTTCCATATAGACCGTGAAAGTGAGATAATTTATCAATTATTTACTCTAAAAATTCAGAGACGACTAGGGCCAACCTATATGCTATTAATTTTGTTGGGCTAGAACCAGACCTGCCATAGATTCTCAAAAAGGTTGATATCAAAATGAAAGAAAGTATAATGGTAGGATTGTTATGCATTAGTGGATTGAATTTTTACCAGTTTATTTAGCTTGAACCATTATTCGTCTTTCCTATGATTTTGTAATTTGTAACAATCAATATAACAATAACATAACAATAAAATCGTGAGCTTTTTCAACATTTTTTTTGGCCTGAAAATCTCAAACTGTGGAATTTTTTGACTTTCTGCCTAATGAAATGCTAACCGTTTTTGCAAAAACTGTCAATAGGAGGCCCATCCTTACGCTTACGGAAATGAGCAAAGCTTTGGCGTGTCCAAAAGAAATTTCTGGGCCACCGAATGACCAAAATGATACCCATATTAAAGCACTGATATCTCCGTCTAGACTATTTCTAAGAAGACAATAAAGTGCGCATGATGTAGACAATCTCTATAACATAGGTAGCTGAATTTCCAAGAAAATGGCTTCATTTGCATCTGAATTCAGGCCAGGAAAACAAATGCAATGAAATTTTGGTTTCAAGTGCGGTTGTTTGAAGCTCTATAATTTGTTAACCAATGGACCTAGAAGCTCATTTTAAAAAAATTAGATAGAGCATGAAAAGAGCTTCTTGAAGGTATGCTAAGTTTTTTCAAGGGAGAAAGTTGGTGGAAAAAGGTTGTCCTGAAACAGGGCCTAGAAAAACGCGCATTACTTTTGTACCATCCTTATAATATGAATAACAGCAAAATAATGATTGAGGGTAGTTTTTGAGCTCTAAAAATCTGGACTGAGTAATAAAGAGTAAAAGATCAAACATAGAGTTATAGTACATTGGCGCACCGAGAAGCCAACACGGGAGGGGGGATCCAAATAATTACAAGTTATTTTTTAACCAGATCTGAGTTAGCTTTGAAACATATTCTGATGGCGTAGTTGCTGCCAACATGCCCTTTTTTAATTACTTGTTTCGATGCTTCCGAAAAATTCAAGAAGCTTCTCTAAATAACCAAAAGTCCCTTCACTTGGAGAAAAGATCTGTCCCTCTACCCCCCCCCCAAGAATTAGAATAGTGAGGATTAAAATCTATGAAGTTATAAGCACTGCGACATCCAGCGTCTTTACTACTGCAGCTCATTTCAATAAATCATCAACGCTCGACTTCATCGTAATCTTCTTAGAGACAAATCGAGATCTATACGAGTAGCACTGCACAGGAGGTTAGTACTATATAAGGGAAAAAGTTGAAGATCCAGGACTGTGGAAACAGTTCAAAGTGAAATGAGCACGAAGTTAGAAGTCACCCTGCCACCCGTCAGTCTCTTTTGCTGATGGGGTCTCGCAAGTAATCACATTAGTGCAGTTTTTGATGCAGTCTGTCGTTTTCTTACTTCAGTTGGAGTGCAGTTTAAGTACAGCATTCATCATCCAGTCTCTGGGAGCTTGAAATAGCGGAAATATGAAACTAACGATTTGAAACTTTTTCAAATAGATATAGTGCGCTCGAAGATTTTCCAAACCATGACTAATAGTGGGATCATAATCGTGACTGTTTACTTTTTTCTATCCTACAAATCCTCCTCCATTCTTTTTGAGCTTCATTATTCCGTAAAACGAATCTTGTCTTGAGTTTACAAAGAAATTTTTTTGCTATAGTCGTAATCTGCATCAAGTTAAGTCTTTTTTCATTTTATATGTGTGGCGTTTTCTCCTTTCCTTCCGAGGGAGGAAGCTCCGCAAATTTTTCTTATCTGTAATCGAGCATTGATTTTAGTATTTTTTACAATGATCTTCACCTTGAAAAAATTTTTTGCGCTGCGTTTGCGAAAACTATAATTGAGTATAATAAAATAATTTCTATATTTATTGTACCCCGTATACGATTTTATTGTAAAATTAAGCAAAAAAATTTATCTTAGAAGATGAAATCTTGCGAAAAACCCTTGCCTTATTTTTTGAAGGAATTTTTTATTTCTTTGACTGAAAGAATTTTGTCTTATTCTCCCCTCCCAAATAATATCTTTCTTAATTGGCGAATATATATATATACTTTGTTTTTCGGGAACATTCAACTATCAATTGCAGTGGTCCCAAACTCTCAAAGGGTCATTTTGCGCTCAGAAAATCCGTCCTGTGGAGGGAATATCGTCAAGAAGATGTTGACACGGAATCCCATCTGTCACTACCGGATTCTAGCCAAATCCTAGCAGGGCGCAATGTCGGCCATTTTGTAAGGTAAGCCGTCATAAATTTTCACCATTATCGGTATTCTGAGATGGCGCTTAGGCGGACAATAGTAAGGAAGCGCATTTGGAACGAAGTAACAAAATAGAACTGAAGTTTGGTAGTGCATTTTATTTGAACAGAAACAGCGTCCTTTTTGTCATGAAAATTGAACCAGACTGTTGATTTGAATTTACCATAAAATGGACTCAGGAAAAAATATTGTTGTGCTTGCAATTTTTTTGTAGCTTAATAATCATGGATACTGTAGTGTCTTGCAGGACTTACCAACAGAATGACTAAAAGGCTTTTAAAGTATTTCCTATGATCTGTGAATCGCGCCAACCCAGTTCAAAGGTAGCGTCCCGGTAAAATTTTGCTTTCCAGTTTCTCACCTACTTGTAGTTTTCTCGCTACGAGGAACCCATATCTGAGCTTTTCAGCGCATGAAAATGACGAAAAGGAGCTTTTTGCGAAGCTTTCAAGCGCTAGAGGTCTTCCGCACCCCGCCTCCCTCGTTCCGCGCCCCGCCCACTTGCATGTATTTTCCACTGAATGACCTGAAAAACTTCGGAAAGCGCACTTTTGCCATTTTCATCGCAAAAACCCGAATATGGAGTCCTTTGGCGAGAAGGCTCGAAAAAGATGAAAAACTGAAAAACAAGACCTGCCGGACATTGTCTTCGACTATCAAAATGTTCAGACTTTTTGACAAGGAAAATTTGCTTTTCTAAGCAGAGAGAGAGTGGTTAATTGATCGCTTCAGCAAAAAAACTACACTGTAGACAAATCTCTATTATTAGGTTGTTGCATAAGTTCTGTCCGATTTGAATTTTTTGAGTTTAAAATGTCACAACTTCTTTCAGAATCAACTTTTTTCCAAGATCTTAGTTTCTATGTGTTGAGCAGTTCCTTAACTATGAAAAGCTCATCGAGACCTGCGCAAATCCTTGTTAAGGAAGAAGCAAGAATGCAAAAACTTCACAGCGTTTTTCTTCGAATCTGTCCTTTTTGACATGGTAACGCTCCCTTATGAGATTCGATAGGCATCTTTTCTAACAATGGATAGATAGAGAAATTTCCGTAGATTATTATGCATTATGAAAGAGCCCATAGGGTCTGCGCTGCCGAGAGATTTTTTTGACCGAACAAAAAATTAGCCACTTTTTGACCTCGCTTCAGCACATGTGTGCATGCCTATTTACAAATTATGAAAATTTTACAACAGAGGTGAGCGCCGAAAAGGAATTGGTGGATAGGCCCTGGTAGCTCTTGCTTTGCTCTAGCACCTCCATCTTTGAAGTCGTCGATTACTTCTAATCGCAGAAAGTTATAGCTTGTACAACATCTATAAAGAAAATTAATGTTCGACAATAGATTTGACTAGCAAGACGTTTTCTTCATAGAACCAAATTTCTGCTTATACTAGCATTCTATACCCGTATTCCGCAGCCAATGAAAGAACTTGACTTGAAGGGCGCATTGTGGAGATTTCTTCGCAAGAACATATTTTTAGGGTGAGAACGTACCTCGGCCACTTAGAGATTTTATGCCTGAAATCTCCGTACGCTAAGAAATTCATTGAAATCTGATATGCTTTAGAAAACGCAAGGAAAGCACTTTTCAATGATACCAACAATATTGCATTAGAGATGAAATTCTCTCAGAACAACTGCTTCAAACATGAGGCAAAAATAATCGGACAGAACTTATGCAGCAACCTAATATGTTGTTTTAGAGCTAGGGATCATTTTCAGCATCTCAAGGATCTGTATAGGCATACTTAAATACCATTCTCGAATACTGAAAATCAAAGACCTTGTTCTTGAGGTCTCTCTATCAACCCTTCCTGAAGTCAAAATTCACAATATTGCAGTTCCTCCTAATAAATCGTACCATGAACAAAGTGAAATCTATCCACTTTACCAACCATGCATCATATCGATTTCTGACTTTTTTCGCTTTTTTTGAACAGATAATCCTCTAAAATCCAATAACCAACATGTAATGACAATGGTTTAGATTCATTGTATTTGAAATCAACATCGTTTAGTATTCCATTCCAACTTCTGAAGGATGGGACGACCACGGTATCAATACGCATTGATTGCTGCTTCGCTAGGCACCTTGTACTTCTTATTCAGAAACAGGTAAATTACAGTACGGCTACAGTATCTTACCATGTCTTGTTTACAAATCTTCGTGGATTACTATTTCAGGCACTCTTATCATATGCAAATGTGTGGTCTACTCTCATGGCATTTATTGTCGGTACTACTCACTCCAGGGTAAGTTAACTTTTTACTTGATAATTATCAAGTTGGGAAAGTTTTGTATGTGCAAGGGCCATGTATGATTGTTGAGTTCGTGTCATAGCAAATCCCTTTCAATAAATTTCTTGATTCCTCCTAAAAATATAATTTCTAAATCAAAAAGAAAAAGGAAGGCTTGATTAGGTTATTATCACCTTCCTCAAGCCTATACCATTTGATTTAACTGGATTGGCGGCTGGAAGGCGGGCTTCGTGACCTAGTTAAGGTTAGGGAAAGATCAGAGAGCACGCGCGCGAGAGTGACGCAGACTGCGTAGCCGGCGCAAACGGCCTTAATTAGATCGCCAATCCAGTTGAATCAAAGGTTGATTAATATTTTGTCTTCTCAAAAAGCAAATTTTAGGAGAAGATTTGTTTGAAAATTTTCGGTATTTCGGCCTTGCTGTCGCGCTCAACCCAAATATGGGCTCTGAAAACATGAGGACAAATTCAAATGCCTAAACTTCTTTTGCAGAAATTTACTGCGAGACCCTATCTAAGTAACTGCTCAAGCGACAGTAGATCAGATTCATTTTTGGCTGCAAAATCTAGCTTCAAACCTAGCTCAGACCGTATTATTCCTTATTGAACGGTCAGTTTTTTTAGGTACTGTACGAATAGAGTACAGTGTAGGCGAGAGTTCAGAGTTAAGCATGTCGTTAAATGATTTATATGAGAGGAATCAACAATCTTGTTAAAGACTAATATAAAAGGGTAAACTTAGCCCTTCGCCTTTTGTGCCTCTCGTTATTTCCGTTCTCCAAAATATACGTTTTTTTTACTGATCAAACAGCAAATCATCGTCATTATTCATGTGAGGAGACGAATTAGAAAATAACTCTGAAAATTTTATATCTTGCAATTAGAAAACAATCTTGAAGGAACAGTGAAAAGTGTGCTTATCTGAAAGCAGTGGCTCGGGAAAATTGCAGTCATGAACCTTTCGTCCCTCTTTGGCCTTCCGGATGCGCTGAGTCTAGGCTGTGCTCAAAAGATCGAAAAAGTGCTTTTCATGGCGCTTTTCTGGTCTTGGAGATTGCTGGAGGGGCAGGACGAGCGATTCCCGTTAAAGGCACCTTCCACCCTAAGTTGAGGGTGTCGAACTTTTGGCAGCATATAACAGCAGGGCCTCCCATCAAGACAATGCCCAAGTCGCGGCGCAATATGCCGCTTCGGAAGCGAGAAAATCGCTTCGGAATAGCGAAGATGCACGAGGACCCCCATCCATGCCCGCCCCTCCCCATCCATGCCCGCCCATTTGTGCGCGCTCATCCAATCACCGTTTTGCAAAGCCGGCCTGTGGGTTCTCCGGAATGGGGATTGTCGGAGTTTTCGCGGATTCTCGACATTATATTTGGAAACAGGGACATGAGAAGGCCCTGAAACGACAAAAACCTGGAAGTCGAGAATCTGGGTGGACGGTGCCTTTAACTGAGTGGGAGTGGTGCCTGAGCCGATCAACCAGTTGCAGCCAAAAGTGGTGAAGATACAGTATCCTGTGGCCACTCGCAGTTTTGGCGGGAATGGCTCGCCCAGCCCTTTTCGCAATCCCCAAGGCCGGAAAACGCTAAAGAAGCACTTTTTTGACTTTTGAAGCACAGTCTCGGGCCACTGCCTTCAATATTCCTTGTCTTTATGGCACTTTGTTTAGATTATACAATGACCAATCTCTGACATTGTCTACATATGAAACCGATATGATCGTGAGCAGTCAAAGGCGCTACCTTGCCGATGCAAACTCATCACTAATTTTTATCGGTAAGTTCTGTTTGCTAAGCATTAGGTATGATCGAAAAGGAATAGCAGAGAGTAGAAGAAAAGGAAGAGCAGGGATCAAGCGATGAAGACTTCTGAGTCTTATGGAATTATGGCTGTGCGCACGTATCGTCTTAGAAGCTATGATCTATGATCTTTGTATTTAACGGCTAATTTAGTGCTGCTATGGTGCCAAAATCACTTGCGCGAAAAAATAGCTGTGGGGCCCAAAACTTGAAGATAGATATGTGTTCTACGCCTAATTCTTACGCTTTTGTCTAAATAATTTTAAGTCGCCTGTGATTCCACCCAAACACCTTTATCCGCCACTCTTTAGGTTTTCCAGCATTCTCGTAACGGTTGGCACAGAACAAATATTACTGAAAAAAAGCCTACAGGTTTCGCATCTGAATAAATAAATGCTTGTTTACAACAACAGAAAGTGATCAACAAAATTGATATGTACACGTGACGTGGTAAAGTGAGAGCTTTCCGCTATAAGGATTATTGTTGGCGAAATTTTCGTAGGATCGAGTAAGTCATGAAATTATGCAGGTAACTTTTTTTAGTCTAAGATAAAAATAATTAAGATGATCATTGGGCAACTTCTAGAATTTTTTTGGGAACGTGGTTATCCCCACAACCATTTCTATAGGAAAATAATCCAAGCTCAAAAATTTGTGAAGCAATTGTGCAAGGCTTCCTTTATATGCGGGATTATTGTCTTTGCCCCGTCCTCCTCCTCCTTTTACCACCTCCAAAGTTTTTTGAGCCCGCCACTAAATATCAAATCTCTTCATGCGTTGAAAAGTAACCCTTTGATTCAACTGGAATGGCGGCTGGAAGGCGCGGCTTCGTGACGTAGTTAGGCTAGAGAGTCAGAGGGCACGAGCGGGATAGAGACGCAGACGGCGTCGCGGGCGCGAGCGCCCTATCAGGTCACAAAGCCCCGCCTTCCAGTCCCCAATCCAGGTGAATCAATGGTTACTTGATGTTGAGATTAACAATGCTCAAAAATAAGGGTATAAGTTTCTACTGAGATTAACAATGCTCAAAAATAAGTGCATAAGTTTCTAAAGGGTCAAAGCCCGTATGATTTTGAAAGCGCATTTTCTTGCCTTTGACGGTCGAAACCCAAACCGGTTTGATCAATTCTTACCGCTACCCTGTTTAGCAGAAGTTTTTCCTTATAAAGAACCTCTCATAAAGGATTGGCAGCTATTTTAGGAGGTCTTCCACGTTCCGGAACTCCAATGATGCGCATAATGCTGGACTCACATCCAGATGTACGATGTGGCAAGGAAACGAGAATTATCCCAAAACTACTGCATCTTGTAGAAAAGTGGAGAAAAAGTGATGTGGTTGGTTTTCCGTACATACTAACTGAATATAAAAGTATCTCTACAAGTTGTCTTAAAGGTAGATCTGACTTATAACCGTTTCGCTATATTTTTGCATTTCCAACAATTTCGCCGAAACAGTAGCAATGTTTGCTTCATGGCCATTCCCTACGCGCGCGTCGCAAGCAATTTACCGGCATCCCCGAACATAGCACTTGTTTTCGCGCAAGTGTTTTATTCACCGCAAGCGCACTATTTCCAACTACTTGTATTCAGCGCATTGTACTTATAAATTGAGCCATCATGGATTAGATGTTTCCTAGATCATGGCTTAAATTTCAGGAAAGAAATCGTCTGGACCAAGCACAAGTCAGCGATGACCTTCTCAAAAGAGCTTTGGCATCATTCATTGTGCAAGTTAGCTAGCTTCAAAAATCCGAAAAACTGATTTTTTTATTGAAAAAGAAAACAAACTACCCTTTGATTCAACTGGATTGGCTGCTGGAAGGCGGGGCTTTGTGACCTAGTTAAGGCTACAGAATGATCAAAGAGCACACGCCGAGAGAGACGCAAACTGCGGGCGGGCGGGCGTGAGCGGCCCTAACTAGGTCACAAAGCCCCGCCTTCCAGCCGCCAATCCAGTTGAAATAAAGGTTATCTTGAATTAAGATTATCGATGGCCAAGGCAAATCTGCTCGTCGTCTCTGTAGCAACGATCCGTCTTCGCTGAATGCCGGAAAACTACTGTCGGAGATGTTTCCAAATGCTCGCTTCATTTTTATGATTAGAGATGGTCGAGCCACGATTCAAGAAATCATAGAAGCCAAGGTAGAACATTTTCATTTGTTCAATTTATTCATTAGGCCTGCCCTTCTAGAAATGGAAGAAAATTCTCACAGATGGCCTAGTTATCTATTTTTACCTTCGCCTAATGAAAGAGTGGAGATCTTTTTCTTCCTTTTGAAAAATGAATTTTTGTGGCTAACCTATGATTCAACTGGCTTGGTGGCTGGAAGACGGAGCTTTGTGACCTATAAGGCCGCTCTCGCCCGCGACGCAGTCTGCGTCTCTCCCGCGCGCATACTCTCTGATCATTACCTAGAATAAGCTAGGTCACGAAACCCGCCTTCCAGCTGCCAAGCCAGTTAAATCGAAGGGTAACTGTATTTGTTCCCTGCTAATCTTTGTCAATTTTTTATTTTTTATTGTCTGATTTTCAGTGTAATTCTTGATAACATGATGGCATTTGAAATGGAGCGATCCTAACTAAAGCTCAAAAACAATAATTCAAAATGTTTGAGAATAAGCTGTCTGGAAGAAATCTTCAGAGATCAATTCCTTAAAAGATTATTCAGAGCTTGAAGTCCCTTTCAGGCGAACGCACCAGGCTTCAACACCACAAATCATCGTGAATGTATGACGTATTGGAACAAGGAAATCAAAGATTTGCTAGTTCAGTGTAACGCCATTGGCAAAAGATGCTTGAAGGTGTAGTTAATAAGCGTTGAAGTCATTCTCCGGAAAAGCTGCCGACGGTGCGGCTTTAGCTGCCTAGGAGTCGTCTGCCACTTTTCCTTCCTGCGACTGAAAAGCGTTAAAAGCCCGCGCAGCGGCACATCTTTTTCAGCGCCATTGCGAAAATTTCAAAAATTTTGATTTTTTCATTGTGTCAATTCAGGTTTATTATGAAGAGTTCCTCATGTACCCCCAAACTCAAATTCCTTGGGTTTTGAAGTTTCTTGATCTACCCACTACGCAAAAAATTCTTGATATATACAAGGCAAGTCACCTTTACAGTTATCTATAGGTTATCGTAAATCTGGGAGCTTGTATGTAATTCGTTTCAATCTTTATTCTACCAGTTTTATTTAGGTAGTGACAGATGGTAAACTGGAGCAGTTGAGAGGTTGGATTGACAGGTTCCCCGACGACGTTTTACGCGATGTTGATAAAATTGCTCCAATGCTCCGATACTTGGGCTATAACTCAAATCCGCCAAAATATGGTAATGCCCTTACATTCTTTCCAAAGGCTAGTCCCTGATGAAGGCGGCCGGTCGCTTTGCGAAGAGGGTGCGAACTCGTCCGAGCATCCTTCATCATTAGAGCGCGTAAGAGCGCGTACGCCCGCGCATGCCTCGCTTATATGGGAAGCCGCCTTCGTGGCGGAGCATCTCATTTTCAGATCAAGATTCATGCGATGCTAATTTATTTAAACTTTTTTAAAGAATATTCTGAGGCATGAGCGGTCCACATGGCTTTGGCGCAGAATGAGAAACGTCGTAGTACTTTACAGAACCATATTTATTTAGGTACTGCCGAAGAGCTGATGCCACAGAGGCCAGACGAACCTGAAATGGATGGGTGAACGGAGAAATTGTTTTTCAAAAAGAATGTCTTATATGATTTTATAATACCTGCTACAGAGAGAGATATTTTTTTTAATATTCGTTCATTTTTTTGTGCTAGCTGCCTTACTTTGTTGTTTGAAATTAGCGTTAAATGATTACGGGGCAGGATTGGACGTAATCGCAGGTTTTCGTCTCTTTACTTCCAGTGTACAAACTTTTGACAGAGACGCAGATATAAACAGCACGACGTGACTTACTCAGACGCACGGAACTCCGCAATGACGTCCAGTCCGTGCACTGTCAATCACCTATGCTCGCAGTTTTTCGCCAACTTGGTCTTCGCTTTCCACTATCTCTAAATAACAAAAACTTGTTTGGTAAGATATTCTTCTCGATCGCTAACCAACTATGACTATTTTTTTATCAACTAATCGTAGGTGACTATAACAGTTTCCGATTCCTCGCTATAACGCCTTATATGTACACTCAGCTTACTGTGTTGGTTATTGTCAAGATAAAATGATAGGAGATTGCTTCTATGAAAATTGAAGAAATCTGCTGTTGCTCTGCGGTATTTGTTCTGGACATTTTACAGATTAAGCTAGTTCTGATTTCTTTTCTCGTTGATAGAAAATGTGGTACTTTCTGTGACTTTTGTTGGAATTTTTGAGCAAGTTTTCTAGTATCTCTAACTGCTTTTATAAGTCTTGTCCGCAAAAATCAATAATTCAAATACGAAGTACATGCTATATCGTAAATAGAAGTTCTACATGGAAAAAAATTGGGAAATTATGGTAGATAGAAAAAAATATTGTAGACAGAAGTTCTATATGGAAAAAGTTGGGAAATTTTTGGCGCTAAGGCCAGCGTAATACACATCGTTTGGTTTTTCCGAGAAGTTCTGCGATTAGTTGATTCAAAATATTGTACTTGACGTACTGAGAGAGAATATGTATGCTGCGGTCGTAGCTTACTGTAGGTATACGGTAAGAAGCATAATGAATATGGTGATACTTTGCATAGGCTGTCATCATTTCAAACCACAAACATTGAATCAACGCATTCATTACTTATCCTTTTGTAGTGTCCACTTAAAATGGTCTCGACACGACCCTTAAATGTTAGCTGAGGTATTTGTGAACGGGTGGAGGACATTAGGTCGCCGAATTTGGAAAAGTCCCGCGCGGACTCCCTGCAGGAACGCATGTCCGCGCATGTACAAGGGTGCGTATTTGTCGCAAATGACCGCGGGGACCGCCCTTTTTCGGCGACCTAATGTCCCCCACCCTCTGTGAACCTTTAGGTAGGCGCCAGACTAGGCGATTGCCTGCAAAAAAGATGCTGCGCAACTAAAAAGCTGATGTCATTTGGCCTCACGTTGGACGAAAATCAAAGTGGCGTCTGCAAAGCTGGCAACAACCGTAGATTTGAAGAAATGATAAAAAAGCCTCGCAATGAGAGAATGAGATAGAGATCTTATTAGCGAAAAATTTCTGTTGTGGAGAAAGTACGCATGCCAACTTGATTTACCTACATGACGTCAAATCACAGTAAATGCGCCGCGTCCTGCTGAAGCAGGCAGTCAGTTAGTCTGGCGCCTACCTTACCGCATACTTACAGTAATTTTTCGAAAAGCTCTTTGAAAGCCCTTCGGGAAAATCTTGAGTCAGCAGACCCGTATACTGGAACGCTGTTGTTTGCACTTTCAAACATACCACATGTCTTCGCGAGAACTCGAGTGTTGAAAAATGGGAAAAACCCCACATTGCTTCCAACTGGACATCCAGCTGCCCAGCAAACAAACATTTTGTACTGTCCATGGCTTTTTTCTCACGGTGACTCTTGACCTTATAGTCAACAATCGTTTTGTCGGCGTCTACGCTATGTTGACACAGCCGAGATATGACGGGCATTCCGCCTCCCCTCCCTCCCCCGATGGGCGTGGCTACAAACTCCGAGCTCCGCCCACCCATTCACCGCGCGATTTCCTCGTATCGCCTATTATAGATCGGGCGCGCCCTCATTGTCAAGCTCGTTGACCGTATAACCTCGAATCGCGTTTCACTTCCCTATTGTTAGCGTGCGGTAATTCAATAGTGGGTAATCTTCCTTGTTACGAATTTAGTCCAGTTCGATGCGTTTTCATTGCGTATTTTGTGTGAAATTGCGTAGTGAACCATAAAACTGTGTAAATTGCGCCATCGCCGATGCTCAAAAAAAGTAACTTCTTAGGTGAATGTGAGCATGGCTGCATATAAATAGCCCGGATTGGGTATTTCAGTCTTTACTGAAGGTTCTACCTTATATGTAAACAATTATATTCCTGATTACATGTAAAAACTACTGGTCTTCTCAGTTCTGACTCATAGGCATGTGCAACTCATAGGCAGACGTCAATCAGTGAATTCCCATTCATATGAGTATGGCCGCATATTTTATCGGGTATTTCAATCCAAACTTCTTCTTAAGCTTGATTTTCTATTCACTATTTTTAGACCTAACGTAGGAGCTTGGACCTTTATGGGTGATAAAATTCATGTAAACACCATTGGTCTTTGTGAGCTGCAAATCATAGGCGTTACCGCAGCGCAGGTCACAACTTGACGTTGCTGTCAGGATGACTGTCTTAGCAACTTTCTTCCTTCTACTAGAGAGTTTGAAAATCACATATGCAATCGTAAGGGGTGGGGGGGGGGAAGAAGAAAATGATTGGTCCTTTTCTATCATCTTCAATCTTTAGATCATAGCTAAGAGATGCCTGGCATTGAAATGCTTATTTCTCTAAACACATTCCAGTCCCATATTGATGTGCATCACTCGAAAACATTCTAAGTTTTACGCATACTTGTATATATTCTGCAATTGCACACATAGCCCCCTCAAATTCCACTGAACTATAAACACCCTGCGACATCCTAATTTAGACATTCGTACACTATTCTCATCTTGTTCCCACTGCACTAAAGAGCTTAGACGCAAAAAGCCCTTCACGTGCTTTTATTTTCACTTCGGTGAAGCTTCGTGAGATAATTGCAGCTTTAGTCCACATGAAAAAGTCTGAGAAGAGATTCTGAGTGTTTTGTTCCGCTTCGCTAGTTGACGCACGCAAATTAGCACAAAAAGCGAAAATGCAGCCTATAATGCAGTGAGAAAGATTAGGCTACTAATATCGAAGTCAATATAATCTGTTCATGGACTATTGGGACTCGAGAACGCTAAGCGGGAATGTACTCAAGTTAGGACTTGTTTTACATCGTAACTCATGTTTTTGGAGCTTTAAATTGAAGGAAAAACAAGTTTAAACTTGTTAATCATAAATTCTGTTCACATCCCGCGTGATAACACATGTAAAACAGGATATGACGATCAATACCTTGCGGTGCGGACAACATTTGCGCGGGAAAGACTACAGTGACAAACTTGCGCGTCAAAACTGATCATAGAGCGCAGATTCAACTGCGTCGTATGGCCATTTTTTACGCGCAAATGTTGTTCGGCAGCACAATGCTGTGTTAACCGTAGAATCTACTAGATACAAGCATGTTTGATGCAATCACTAACCAATGTCCGCAATTACACCACGTTCCATTTCCATTCTATAGTGTGAGTTATGGTTATTTCTTATCCGCAGCAGCCGACATTCTCAATCTTGCGCTGCTATTAAAAAAACTTGTTTTATTCGCTAATACCGGATTCTCGCTCATGCCCGAAAACCCGATGTCTGGACAGATAGCCGCTATCTCTTGATGAGCGCAATGGAGTGCGCCACCATTAGGCTTATTATCAACTGCTAACACCTGCTAATCACTTGTTGACCAGCTTATCATCTTCGCAGTCACAGAATTTAGTTTCAAGCGAAAATCTCTTTCACTTATTCCTCAAAAAATGATCTTTGCATGCAGCTTTTCTCAGATTACCTCAATCTTGATATAAAATACTCTATAAGTTCCGTTACAACCCGTTCTTACCATTTATTGCCCCAGGATCTCAAAACCTCGGCCATTTGAAGTAGATTCATGAAATTATACTTATAGAAATAGATTGGATGGCTGATAGTGTTCTTGCGTTGCCACAACGTGTGCGCGTAAGCAAAGATAACGTGCGCCCTAGGGCCAATTTTTATGCGCAAGCCGCAAGCAAGTTGTCGGCATCCAGAAATGGCAACTTTCGCGCGAATACTGTCGTTGCCACAAAGCCACTTTATTGAAAGTTATGCTAGATGTCGATATACACTCCAATTGCATGGCAATTGTTTCATGGGATACAGTAATAATACGGTCTGAAATGTGAATCACAAAACTACCTGTTGTAAAAAGAGGTAAAAGACAGAAACATAATTTAGTGGACGAAACAGTTAATATAGTGTTCTTGCATTGCAGACAACACTTGCGCGTAGAAAATTGCGACTATGATGCAAAACCTGGAGAGCATGCAACAATGATTATTTCCTCCGTCTAATTGTTGTCGACACCGAAGGGAATGTCAAAAGCCAAGGAACAGAATATAAATTGAGAAAATTTACAAATACAACTTGAAATTAGGGACAATGATATAAATAGATTTATTTTGCATATTCAGACGATTTTCAAGCACGTGCTTTTGCTCTAGTTTTAATGGCTGACCAGGGCTTGAAGCGCTACGTAAACCAAACTTGTACATTTTGGCAATCGTGCTTTTTTGCTTGCTTTTCATACTTGGCAAAAGATCTCGGACATTTAAGACAATAAGTACCACTATGTATCATTCATTCTATGACCAGGAGACGCTAGACCGCATTGCACACATTGTCTAAACAAGCCTAATCGTGTACTTAGCATGTTTATACTTGTCATTATCTCCACCAAGTTCATTCACTCTTTGGAAAAAGGGAAGAACAAACTCAGACTTGTTATGACAATGTCCGCAATGCGTCTCGGGTCTTCTAGTCATAGAATAGACGATAGGTGCTCTCCTAGAATTATTCCCATAAGAACCATCAACGTGGTGCTTTCAATCGTTTTAACACGTTAATTTCAGCAAATTTGAGGTGCTTATTTGAATCTGACATGTTGAATGATCGAAAGGCAGTCACGCTGATGGTTCATATGGGAACAATTCTGGAGATGCACGATATTTGCTGGACGTTGGGAACGGGGTGATGACGTATACAAAGAATGGCCACACCGCTCAAATGGTCTATAAATTTGCCAAACTCGATGCGGTTGCA